CAGCCTCAGCCTCAGTCTCAGCCTGTCTCGGCCTGAGCCTCCCTCGGCCTCAGCCTCAGCCTGTCTCAGCCTCAGCCTGCCTCAACCTCAGCCTCAGCCTGTCTCAGCCTCAGCCTGCCTCAGCATCAGCCTCAGCCTCAGCCTGCCTCGGCTTGCCTCGACCTCAGCCTGCCTCGGCCTCAGCCTCAGCCTCAGCCTGCCTCAGCCTCAGCGTCAGCCTGCCTCAGCCTCAGCCTCAGCCTGCCTCAGCCTCAGCGCCAGCCTCAGCCTCAGCCTGCCTCAGCTTCAGCTTGCAGCTTGCCTCAGCCTCAGCCACAGCCTCAGCCTCAGCCTGCCTCAGCTTCAGCCTCAGCCTGCCTCGGCTTGCCTCAGCCTCAGCCTCAGCGTCAGCCTCTCAGCCTCAGCCTGCATCAGCCTCAGCCTCAGCCTCAGCCTGCCTCAGCCTCAGTCTCAGCCTGCCTCAGCCTCAGCCTGCCTCAGCCTCAGCCACAGCCTGCCTCGGCCTCAGCCTGCGTCAGCCTCAGCCTCAGCCTGCCTCGGCCTCAGCCTGCCTCAGCCTCAGCCTCAGCCTGTCTCGGCGTGCCTCAGCCTCAGCCTGCCTCGGCCTCAGCCTGCCTCAGCTCGGGCATTCAAAATATGGCACAAGATTGGTGTTCTGGGAACACGAAGATCACGAAGTGGGCCACAGTTGTCTCCGGGCAATCAAAATATTGTACAAGAATGGTGTTCTAGGAACACGAAGAACACGAAGTGGCCTACAGTTGGCTCCGGGCATTGAAAATGTGGCCTGGGAGTGGTGTTCTGGGAACACGAAGAACACGAAGTGGCCTGCAGTTGGCTCCGGGCATTCAAAATGTGGCCTGGGAACGGTGTTCTGGGAACACGAAGAACACGAAGCGGCCTACAGTTGGCTCCGGGCATTCAAAATGTGGCCTGGGAACGGTGTTCTGGGAACACGAAGAACACGAAGTGGCCTACAGTTGGCTCCGGGCATTCGAAATGTGGCCTGGGAATTGTGTTCTGGGGAGTCCCCGGATCCTCCCCAGCACCCGCCCACACCGTCGCCGCCGCCGCTTCCGATGATGGCGTCGTCGTCGTTGTGTGGTCCTTCTCCTCGTTCTTTACCTCGTCCCCGTCCTTCCCGCTGCCGTCTCATTATCATCCCCCTGCCCTTCCCTCCCGTCGCCGGATTCCACATAGGGTTGACATAGGGTCTACATAGGGAATCGACGTCGCCCCCGTCGCCGCCGCAGCGGTGATCGTCGTCGCTGTCGTCGTCGCCATCACCATCGCGGTCGCCGCCGCCGCCGCCGCCGCTGCTGTCGTCGCCGTCGTTGTGGTCGTCCCTGCCCCCGTCGTCCCCGCCACCGTCGCCGTCGTCGTCGCGTCGTCATTGTACTCGTCGCTGTCGCCGCGCTCGTCGTACCGTAGTCGGCATCGCCTTCACCGTCGCCGCTGCCACAGTGTTTTTCGTCGTCGCCGCCGTCGTCAACGCCGCCGCCGCCAAGGACTCGACCAAGGGAGGTCTACAATAGCGCAATAACAAAATCAGGGAATGCCCCTCAATGCTCTGCCTGCTCCTTACAAGTACCACGGAAAACAAACGCGGAAATGGACACCCCTTCTTGAAGGCTCTTGGGCAATCTTCAGGCTCTACGGGGCCGTCGTGGGGCTCTTTTGGAGCCTCTTCGGCGGTCTTGGGGCGATCTTCGGGGCGTCTTCGGCCGTGTTGGAGCGTTGGAAGCTCGCGAACGCGAGAAAGCCGAAAACATTGAAAAACGATGGCGAATCAAGGATTTGGCCTTTTCGGGCTCTCTCGCGACGCCGCTCGGAGCTTTCTTGGGGCCTCTCGACGCCGACATCGACGCCGACAACGACGACGACGCCTTCGGCTGTGACGGCGACGACAACGACGACGGCGACGACGACGGCGACGACGACAGCGACGAAGACAGCGACGGCGACGGCGACGGCGACGACGACGACGGCGACGGTGACGGCAGCGACGACGACGGCAGAGACGGCGACGGAGACGACGACCACGACGACCACGACGACGACGACGACGAGGACGACGACGACGACGGCGACGACGACTACGACGACAACGACGACCACAACGACAACGACGACGACCACGACGACGACGATGACCACGACGACGGCGACGACGACGACGGCGGCGGCGGCGAAGACGACGACGCCAACGACGGCGACGACGACGACGACGACGACGACGACGACGGCGGTGGCGACGGCGACGACCACGACTACGACGACGAGGACGACCACGGTGACGACGACGGCGCCGACGACGCCGACGGCAACGATGACGACGACGACGACGCCCACGGCAACGACGACGACGACGCCGACGGCGACGACGACGACGACAATGACGACGCTCCTGCGCGACCTGGCCGCCCTGGCGCGCCTCGGTGCGTCCTGGCGCGCCCTGGCGCGCCCCGGCCCCGCACTGGCCCCGACCCGGCCCCGCCCCTGCGCGCCCCTGGGGCCACAGGTGTCTGCTGACGGCGGCGAAGAGGACGGCAGCGGCGGCGGCGGCGAGCGCGGCGGCGACCAGCGGGGGGGGGCTCGAGAGCTGGAGAAGGAGTTCTGGCCTGACGTGGGCCTACCGCAAAGAGGAACTGGGGGGTTAGGGGGAGGAGGAGGATTCAGAAGACATTAAACAAAGAAGGACGATGGGGAACAGGATGAAGAAAAACAGAAAGAGGCGGAAGGGGAAAACGCGGGAGGAGGAGGAGGGGAGAACACGAGGAAAAGAGAAAAAGGAGCGACAGGGAGAGGATGGGACCATGACGACGAACGAACGCGGCGAGCAACCAATAGACCTGGTCCAGCACAGAAACGGAAAGAGCGCTTCAGAAACAGAAACCGAAATTACTCACACCATCGTTCGTACTGGGAGCCTTGGCGTTGAGAGCTTGTTACGTCAACCCCTCGCTCCTGGGAGCCTTGGTGTTCAGAGATTGTTGCTTTGCCGCCCGTTCCTGAGCCTTGGCTAGGCCTTGGTGTCAGGAACTTGTTACGTCACCGCTCTCTGCTGGGAGCCTTGGTCTTATCAGCTTGTTTACGTCACCGTTCGCTCTTGGGAGCTTTGGTGTGAAGAGCTCTTTGCGCTACCGATCGCTCTTTATTAGGCGTGCCCTTTTTAGAACCTTTTTGGAAGCCTCTTGGGAACCTCTTGGGGGCCTCTTGGGGCTTCTTGGGGGGCTCTCGGGGCCTCCTGGGAGCTTCTTCGGGCGAAAGGCTAAACTTTTCGGTTCGTGGTCCCCCTGTTGGGGGCCGTCTTGGGGCCCTCTTGGGCCGTCTTGGGCGCCTCTTGGGCCGTCTTGGCGCCCTATTGGGCCGTTTTGGGGGCCTCTTGGGAGCCTCTTGGGCAGTCTTGGGGCGGTCTTGGGGGCCTCTTGGGTCGTCTTCAACGCCGTGAAAACCGAAAAGCCGTGCATGCTAAAAATGAATGATATAACTTCTTTCCCAATCATTTGCTGCATGACAAGAGCTCAGCTGAGTCGATGGAGAGCGTGGCGAGCCACGCTCAAATCAACCCTGCAAGGATCACAGGTCTGCACGTGCACACGACAGTTCTTAAATCGATGCTCTTGTAGACTGAGGCAGGAAGGGCAGGGACGGGCGGGCGCCGAAAAGCTACAAGAGAGGGCACGGAGACAGGCGTGAGATCAAAGTCGCACAGAGCTCACCATGATATAACTTCTTTTCCAATCATTTGCTGCATGACAAGAGCTCAGCTGAGTCGATGGAGAGCGTGACGAGCCACGCTCAGATCAACCCATATTCAGAACAACATACCCACATCCAGCACTGTAACTCGGTCACCGTAGAAGATTCAATTTCTCGAAGTTCGACGAAGAGCATAGGCCATGAAAAAGTCATTGGCCAAGATGTCTGCTAATTGGCGAGGGCATGCCGCCTTGGCGGCTGTGAAGAACCCGCCTCCTACTTTGGCCCCTGACAGGTTGAGATGTGGCTTGCCTGAAAAGTCGCACACGCCACGGCCATGACAGCGCAGACGAGGCAACTTACGCGAGGCGTGCATGTTAAAAATTATGAGTCGCGTTCTTGCTCTGAAAGGGCGCCTGCAGACGCGATAATCTACTATGTAGTCAGTGGTGCAGAATTTGTCCGATAATCTTTGGCGGGGCGGCAAGTCCCACAGGTAGCTGGTGCTTGGATTCTCCTCGCCTCCTGGAATATTACGTGCGGCAGCACGTTGGAGCAGACCGAGAGCTCTTGCAGCGAGCACATTGGATTGCTGCAGGGTCTCCAAGTCGCGGCCCTCGAGGTTCGGAAGACCTTGAAGGAACTCTGGGCTCCTCAGGGCACGAGGGGGCCGAGAGCCCGGAGGTTCACTCCGAGCGCGTAAGAAGCCTCCGCAAGGGGTCCCAGACCAGATTGCAAGCACTACTCCAGACAATATCCAACCCCTCAGGCGGGAGTAGACGTCGTCGTTCAGCAGATCCATATGCGGACCTTGGTTCACGTCGAATGCCAACACCGCCACGCCTTTGCGCCTCATGGACGCCGTGAGCTCGCCAGAGCCTACGAAGAGCTCGAGGAAGAGCCTGAGCCGGTTGCCTGGCCGAAGAGCCTGGCGAAGCGCAGCCTGAAGTCGTGCTCCACGCGATGCATGAGATGCTCGAGTCGGTCTCGCACATGTTGAGGCAGCAGTTGCAGCTGTAGTCCGACTCTGCCGTGCTTGTCGTACCTGGCCACACTGCTGTGCGCCTTCCACATACCTCGGCGCTGGACCTCCTGCAATGGGCGTCGCCCAGCTGCTCGATCGTGGCTGGCCCCACCGTGCCTGAAGCAGTGCGGCGTGGGCTGCAGGACCTGAATGCCCAGATCCTGAGCCGACCGATCGAGCAGCGACAGGAAGACAGTGTACGAGACATTGACCACGTGCTCCATGGGCTGCGAAGCGAAGGCCTCCTTGAGCAGCACCAACAGCATCCCCACCCAGCGGTGTTCTGGAAGATCGAAGGCGATGCTGCCGTCCATCTCCCCTGTCTTGGAGGGGACTTGGAGCTCCGAGGCATTGAGAACAATGGTGGGGCAGCCTGCCGCCCCCGCCGAGTGGCGGTCGGGCGGCACGATCTGGAACATTCGCAACGCGAGCAACTCCCCGACGCGGCAGTAGGTCTCGAACATGACCAAGTACCCCAGTGCAGCCCTCTCTTGCCCATAGTCCAGCAGCTTCGCGGCGATGGCGTAGGCGGCTTGCCCGGGCAGCGGCGGCCGCGACGCAGGAGAGCTGAGCCGCGTCCACCCCCGCATTGATGCGAAGGCTTGAGGGAAGAGCGTCCGAGCAGGCCCTCCCAAATGCGGCAATGCCCACAGCAGCGCGTAGATGACCTTGACGGTCGCCTCCCTTGAGTGCCCATCGTCGTGTCGGCCCCCGATGAAGTCGACCAGGGTGACGTCCCACACCTTGGCCGAGAAGCGCGGGAGCTCTCGGCACTGCATGAAGAAGGCCAGCTGCTCGAGGATGCCCAGGTAGGCCAGCTGCGTGGCCTCGCGAATGCGGTTGGCCTGCAAGCCAGTAAGCCGAGGCACCAAACGATGTAGTAGTCGCTGCAATTCCACGCGATGCCGTTGCTCTCGGAGGCCCGAGCCCCGGCGGCGCGCCGAGGCGGACGCGCGCGGCCAGGCGAGCGGCACATCGCTCTGCGGCTGGGTGGCAGCGCTTGACCCCGTAGGATCTCCAGCGGCCACCAGCGCCCCGAACGAAGGCCTCGGGCGAGAAGGCGGCGGTATCTGACCCGAAGCTGGAAGCCCCGCCTGCGTGGCTGAACGACGGCGAGGAGGCGTTACCTTCAGCATCCTTGAGCCCAGAGGCTGGCGACAGGCCCTTGTTCCACTTCGGCATGTACCGACGAGACGGCTTATCAGCAGCATTTCTTTCCGAGGGGATCCACCTGTGGGCCAGCTTGAAATCCGCAGCCAGACTGATAAGCCAAGACCTCCCGACAGATAGAGTTAAGCCTGAAATCTGTAGCCCGCCCTTTACATAGCGCGCAGATAAGACTCATATTGTCCCCCAAGAAGACGAGCCGACGAGAATGACACCGACTGTTTCGAGAGGCACGCCGCACTCCATGGAGCAGAGCAAATCCCTCCAGCAAATGAATAGGCAGGCTAGCAGAAGCGGGCCTGGCTGCGACCGTGACCCAGGCGGCGTCTCTCAGAAATTCAGGATCGACCTCGGTAAAGCCCGAGACCGCACCAGCCGAGAGGATCGTGTCCCGATCCCGTGGGATCTTGAAATCGTCATCGACATCGCCAAGATCCATGAGGTCATCCCGAGGCCGTCGGTTGGTAGCCAACAACCCCTTCCACCTTGATCTGTCGCTCAGCCGTCCGATCTGCCCTGACTGCGATGCCAAGACTGACGTTTCGCAAACGCCATATCCCCAGGGACTCGCCTCATAAGAGGTGATCAAAGGAGACCAAGGCCGTGACATGTCCGCGGTCACCAGCGGCAGCAACGCGCGGCACCACCGGAGCTCCTTGCGGACCGAAGGCCAGAGAGGCACCCGTCGCAGCTTGGTCTCCTGGGCGAAGGTGCACGACGCGTGCAGGAGCGAGAGCAACTCGCGTCGGAGCATGAAGCAGCTGACCAGGTGTCCCAGCAGCCGCTCCATCTCCGTGCCGGCGAAGCCCTGACTGGACGAAATCATGTAGTCCAGGGCCCCTTTGACCTTCCAAAACTTGCGAGCGCTGAGGGTCCAAGTAGCCCGGTGCTCGACCAACGAGAAGCCAAGGAGGTCGTGCACCCCAAACGTCCCCGAGCTCGGGTCCATGTCAGCTTTGACCCCGGCATCCGCCAACAACGTGATCATATCAGCAGTGGCCGCGTCTGGCCGAGCTCGTGTGGGGCCGATGGGCGCAAAGTTGTCTATGTCGAGTATCTTAGCCAAGTGGGAGTCGCTGATCGGCTCCGTCGGCACCTTGTCCAGCACCCAAGAGTCGAGCGGCCTCACACCCTTCAGCAACGACATGTGCGCCTGCTGCACGAGGTGCACGGCCCAGGCCCATCCCACGGGTACAACTCGAGATTGAAATTGAATGTGGCCGTTGGTGGCCTGCTGGCTGACCTGGCCACGCACGTGCCGAGGCAGAAACCGAAGGTCAACAGACTGAAGAGCGAAGAACGGGCGGAGGTTGGACGGCAGCTCGTACTGATAGAAGCAAACCTCCACATCCGCGCTAGGTGCCACTATCCGCTGCCCAGCGAACGACTCGTCAATCTCAAGAGCAGCCAGAGCCTCCCCCGACGGCAATGCGGCGAAAGGCGGCACCTCCAAGTGTGCGTTGGAGCGCCTCGTGTCCCATATAAGACGTAGTCGCCCATCCTTGCGGGGAGCGAAGGAGAGCCCGCAGACCTCCCGCGGCGACTCGCACACCTCGATAGCCCCGAGGTTATACAGCCCCCCCAGGAAGCGCCCGTAGTCGGCGCCC